AAAAAAAAAAAAAAAAAACTCTGACTGGAACTAATTTGTTGTCCTTTGTTTACTTCTAAAATGGAGGAACTTCCTGTGGGGACCAGCACTTGAGCCCGGTAGTTGAGCTAAGCTAAATTGCTTCAGTGCTGCTGATTCCCTGGAGAAGGCTTTTTCTGCAGCTCAGGTTTTAATTTGTTGACCTTGTATGTACTTCCAGGTCTTGTGAGGTCTTATACACCTGGGTTGTGTGGCAACTGGTCTGGGCCTGAGTCTTTTCAGCAAACTACACCCCTGCAGTTCTGTATTCCTGCCCAGTCTCCCCTGAGTGATCCCGCACTGATTGGAGGGCAAATCAGCTGTCCATGCTGTACCCCAGTGTTCCCCCAGTGGGCCTGTCCCTCCCACTGCCCACATTCCAAACACTTCCCATGGGACAGGCTATGTGCCGATCCCTTGCGGTGACTCAGGTGGCTCTTAAGTGGCTCCTTTATTCAGTTGTCTGTGACTCTTCACTCCTTATGTGGGTCCTTGGGAACACTGTTAGTTGTCTTGCTGGCCTGGGGGCCACCAAGACCCTCTTCTCCCCTGCATCCCCCAAGCAACTTCATACGAAGGGCACAGCTGCAGCTTCTGCAAGCTCTTGCTCCGTGGGCTCACCAGCTCCAGCCCTGAAGTAGCCGGGGCTCAAAATGGTGGGAGCAATCCTTTCTTTCTCTCATCATGGCTTCTCCTGCCTTCATGAACTCCGTAGATCTCTCCTCCTCTTCCCCTGAGCTCTAGCAGCCCCAGCTTGGCTGTCATCGTTTTTCAATAGTTGTAAATTGGTTGATTTGTGGGAGAGAGTGATGCTGGGGACTATTCTGCCATCTTGATTGGAGCCCCTGATTGTTGCTAGTTTAAAAATAAGTTGCTTATTCTGTGGTCTAATTACAACAATAGGTAGAGCAAGTGAGAGGAGAGGGAGATAGAGGAGTCTTACAAAGGAAAACAGCCTATGTGTTTGCCCAGTGAGACTGCCACAAAATGCCTCTTATATAACCAGGGGTCCTCACTATGCCCTGGAATGTGGAGGTGGAAGGTGGGAGTTGCTAGGAAGCTCTGCGTGATTGGCTGGCCCCCAAACAAGGAAAATCAAGCACACTAGAAGCGTACCCAGTTGACCCATTTTACTGCTGATGGCTGAGCTTCTGGGTCCATTGAGTCCTTCTGCACACACATTGTTTCAGTGTAGGCTGGCTACACTGACATGTGAGTCTGCTACCCCCAACTTCCTCCTCCAGGCAGGTCGGCTTCTTTTACATAATCAGTTGAATTTCACTAAAACTGGCAGCTGATTTCTCCTTCGGTTTTAGGTTTCCAGGCACCCAAACTCTAGGCTGATCTGTTTACTCTAAAGCTCTTGGTCTGCTAGTCCTTAAACTATCTATGGAAGCAAGCATCATTAATAACACCCTTCTATATACTTGTTGAGTTTTTTTTTTTTTTTTTTTTTAAAAGATGACCGGTAAGGGGATCTCAACCCTTGGCTTGGTGTTGTCAGCACCACGCTCAGCCAGTGAGCAAACCGGCCATCCCTATATAGGATCCGAACCCGCGGCCTTGGTGTTATCAGCACCACACTCTACCGAGTGAGCCACGGGCCGGCCCCTATACTTGTTGAGTTCTACAAAGCTCTTCCTGCATCCTATTCTATTAGAGATGAAGTTGAGTAAATGCCTCAACTTCTGGAGCATTTGAAGGTAATCTGTGCTTTTTTAGGATGACTAAAAGGTTCAGAGTAAGAGAGAGAATCC